GACAGAGCACGCCGGGCTCTCACCGGACCAGGCTCTCACGTCAACAAGCGCGAAGCGCCGTAAGGTATTTGGCGAGTCGCATGAAGGGTCCGCTGCATTCTGCTAAGGGTGTTCGATATTTTGTGCATACTTCCTTGCGTACGAATGACAGTTGCGATGACTTCATTTATTTTCTGGTGCTTTCACTTCCAGAGACAGTTGTAAGCACTGTGTAACTGCCTCGAGGGTGCTTGACCATTTTAACCACAACGTGGTGCGATCATCCCCCTTGAGGCAGTTACACAGTGCTTACAATTGTCTCTGGAAGTGAAAGCACCAGAAAATAAATTAATTCATACGCAGCTGTCATCCGTACGCAAGGGAGTAAGCACAAGATGCCGAAAACCCTTAGCAGGATGCAGCGCACCCNTAGTTGATAGCCCATTGACCACGAGCCCTTGAAAGGACGGAAGGGGCGAGTCACATGCAAGGCAGCGATCTTCCGGCAACAGACTCTGGAGCTTTTCCTTTCGAGATAGAGGAATGTTGTCCTTTCCGCCCAAGATTCCTCGCCATGAGAGACGGGATGGGGATTGGGGGAGTGGAGGCGTGTGTGGGGGTACTCAATATCGTCAGCTACTGTAGTTTCATATACAATGTTCGAGGCCCTATATGTAGGCATTTAGATAAAGCAGACAACAACAAAGCGCGCGCGCTGGGGGGGGCGGAGGTCGCGAGAGGGTACCCCCATTGGTTGCCTGATTCAGTGTCGTAGGAACTTACAACGGTAGAGAGCAGATTGGGTAGAGATTTGCCCAGAATCTTGTCGATTATCGCGCCACGGCTACATATAGAAGAGAGGCGAGCAGTAGCGGTGAATTCGATAGAGAAATATTTATATTGTGCATGGTCTGTGGGCATAGTAGACACTAGACAATACTGGGGGGTCGTTCGAGAGTTGAAAAAGACGAGATGCGGTTTAGAAATATTCAAAATAAACATGGCAATTGTAGCAGGGCATTGCGTCTGCACATCGGCAAGCTGGGTGGCCAAATCTGCCCCTACCCTTAAAAAAAGACAGGCATATACGCCGCATTGTCGCCAAAGCTTACCCCGTCCCCTCCCGCCGCGAGCTCCCAGAATACCGGCCGCCAGTTGATGTCGAGGTACCGCACAGCCCCGGCCTCCTTCGCCCTGCACGCACGCAAACACGCGGAAAAAGAACGTGGAGCATGTCAAACGTGAAAACACAATGGAGAAATCATCGATTCAAGTTCTCTGCGAGGGACGGGGGAGTTTTCGATTATTCTTTCGAAGATAAAAGACGTTCTTCGAAGCACAAACCATAACTCTCCCGTCCCTCTCCTCTTCATGCGCCGCTGCACGTGTTTACGTAGGATGCAGTACACACACACCCTCACATTAGAAAGTGTTCTCTCCATGTCTTCCATCCCGCTACAAGATTGACGTCTGTTCATTGGTCGGCCGGTTAGCGTCTTCCATGCTAATTGAGACAATACACACGACGCAGGATGTGTTTCCTACGTACCATTCAGCCAGGCAGACGTGGCTCTCGTAGGACCCTGGGTAGGCCAACCCGAGTGTCCCTTGCACCAGCCAGGACCCCGGCTCAAGCAGACCCTTCGCCATTTCCTCCGACTCCGACAGCCTGATCGATCGTACAAAAGAAGGAAATTAATTTGCTGGTTTTCATTCAGTATATTCTGGACGTCGTGGGTCTTTCTACGCGTTTCGGTACGATATTTTGGATGCACAAGCCAGGGGTCACACTATAGTGCGGGTTTTAAACCGCGGGTGCCCGGTGAGTGCGGGTGACATTGGCTGGCAAACACGGAATAATCAAGATGGTTGATACACGAATAGTGCGGGTGCCCGCAAAAGTCGTGGGTGACAGCACTTTGGACATAAAGGGCACCCGGCTGTAGACCCACCCCCGATCTTTACACAGACAGCCCAGGTGCCGCAGGAAAGTGAGACACACATGCAGCGAAGCTATTCCTTGTCCTAGAGCACCCGTGGTCAACAACGGATCAGGATTACTTAGGGGATGGGAAGCCTGTGGGGCACTCTAGGCCACGTGCTGCACAAAGCGGTCGGGGTCCTTGTCATCACGAAACTGTTGGACTCCGTCAGGAACCAGACCATACTTTTTATGTATATCATTTTGCTTTTTATATATTTTCAGCTGGTCGAAGATGGGCAGCCGAAGGCGGCGATGACAAAGAAAATAACTAAAACGTCCTACATGAGAGCGGACGATGGACGCCGTTCGGCGGTGGATTTTTTCGCCTTAGTGACCACCTAACCCTGTGCATCGACACACTCCGAGAACAAACGCGCCTGGATGATGGAAAACCGTCGGGGCCAAGTCGTGTCCTTCGCGGATAACATATACACTTCTGCGCCCGACAAAACCGGAAAGAGCTTTTTCGCGTTCGCCGCCCGGCAAAGGCGAGGAAAAAAATCCTCCCTCATCTTCGCGCGCAAACCCTAATCGCCAGGAAGGTCACGGATGCCTCCACGTTCCGCTTGTGGAAGGCGCGGGCAAAGGCTCCACGACGGGTAAAGCTTGAGCTCGCTTGAGCGGAACGTCGCGACAGAGCACGTAAACCGCACGCCCACACACCTGTGCTCGCAGTCGGCAAAAGAGTCGGACGCCTTTCCGCCACCGAACCCAGCGAACGTCCGGTCACCGTCCTCGCCCCTCGTAACCATTACCTTATTTTACGCAACCAAAAAAAAAGCGAAAAAGACTAAATAATACGGAGGGGGCGAGCGCAACCGGAAAAAAATAAGTTAAACAAGCTCACTTTCGTTTCTCTGTTGTTGTTTCCATTCCCTATCCCGTCCCGTTGTCGTTTCTCTCTTGCTGTCTTCTCTGTGTGCCGGTGTCACTGCCCTGTCGTTGTCTCTTGATCTCTGCTTCGTCCCCGGTTATTTTTTTCTTTTCTTGCTGACGACACAACAAATTATTTTGCATTTCGGTGAAGGTGGACACAACACCGTGTGACGCCATGATGTGCTGCGAACCGGTACTCGATGTTTTGCCAAACCAGTTCTTGATGTTTCATTCACCGTTCTAGTCGGGCGGTCGTCGACCCTGGCGGCTAGCTCCGTGCCGACTCCCGATGACTCCAGCACCTGCAGGAGCTTGTCGCCTAGGAGGAGGGAGCGGAAGGGTCAGAGAGAGAGACAGAGGCAGAGAGAGAGAGAGAGAGAGAGAGAGAGAGAGAGAGAGAGAGAGAGAGAGAGAGAGAGAGAGAGAG